CTTCACTGCAGTTCCTCTGACGTCCACAGGGGGCAGGCTCTAAAACCAGCCAATCACCACTGTTGAGTGACATCACAGTGATTATGTCCAGTTTTTATACGCAGTGGATCCAAACCATCAGTTAGTTGGATGGTGTCTGCTCACCAGAGAACAATGCATATCTTAACAACTATGGCTCTTATTTTGAAAGAGTAAAACTTGTGAACCAGTTAAAATGCTTTCAATAATAAAATACACTCAGCTGTTTATTAAAGTAAACGTGAATACATTTATTTATTTTTAAGAATAAACTTGTGAACTTATTTCACAAAAACAGCTTTTTCTTGTAAACTTTAATCACTAACTTTCATTTTTCAACTCAGAATAAAATCTTTTCATAAGGACTAATAATAACAACTAATAATAACATAATTATTTTCTTTTCATAAAGCTTTGATGTCAGAGAGGCTGCTGTGGATTGGAGCTCTGATGGAGGCGCTTAAAGTTTGAGTGAACATGAAGTCAGACTCCTGATGGAGGACTCGGTGTCAGCAGCCTCCACAGAGATCACCGGACAGCTGACCCTACTCCCCCACTCACCCATGTTGTAGCCGTACGGGGACTCGGTGGCTCCGTCCTGCAGGCTGGCCAGGATCTCGCCCTTCCCCACGTCGCTGTCGCCCACCAGCAGGAACTTGAGCAGAAAGTCGTAGGCGCGCGCCGGGCTGCTTCTGTGGCTCATGCTCGCGGCGGGTGACGGCTGTGGTGTCCCATCCTGAGATGAGAGCAGGCTTACACCTCTTCCCCCCCCGCACTCAGACTGGAGCGTGTTCAGGAGCTACTCGGAGCGCGTCCAGCTGTGCCATCGGCGCGTTTTTACGCACGACAGTAAAAATCCTCTGCAGGTTCAGGTCCAGGTCTGCTCCCGGACTGAGGAGCAACTCATGGATCTCTGGCCTCCCCCCTCCCTGCTCCAGCTGAGGAGGTGAGGGAGGGTGTTTATCTCGGTTCGATTGGGTAATCGTTCGAGTTGCTAGGGCAACCTTGAGTCAGGATTGGACGTTGGAGACATCCATCAGCGAGCGGGACAAGCTGTGCGTTTGGCTCACTAAGTGACGTCAAGCTGAACAGAAATAGAAAAGGCAACAATTTCCTGTTTGGATTGAGAAAATAAAAGCATGACAGCGGCTGGGCGGAAGAGATGCTTTACACAGGAGCAGTCTAGAGATGAGCCTTCGGACAGACAGCAGTCCGGGTTTGATGAGGCTGATGTTCAGATCAACAGTGCAGCACTCGGAGCAGACTGAGGTTACATTTGCAGGAGATATTTCATGATGTCCATCTGCGTCTCTCTGAGTTTTGTGAAGCAGTGACTGTTGGAAATGTCTTAATGCAGTCAAAGGAAGAAGTTTTCCTCCATCAGCTCACACTCGAGTAACCAATCACTGACTGAAAGCGTGACAATGTTATTTATACAGCACCAACTCACAACAGCAGTCACCTCAACAACATGTTTTTGGCTGTTTTGGCCGTGCCCACCCTGACAAAGATGAATGACATATTTGGTTGCTGTAAAACCACAAGCTCTGTGGCAGGGTTGGTCCTTCCTGGGAGCAGGGAGTGGGGGAGTTATCTTTTTTTGTGTGGTGCTCTGGTTTCCCAGAGGCCGAGGCACAATAACAGCAACAGCAGATATAAATTCCTAACTTCCTGACAAATAGACCACAGTCTGTCAGACTCGGCCCCCACCGGTCCAGCACCATCACACTCAGCACCG